GCCCAGGAGGCAACAAATCTCTTTCAAGAAGCTTTTGGCGCAATTCATGAACAGCACTCTCCTCTTTTGCATCCCTTACATCTTCTATGGAAACTGACGAAACCCCATAATCTATTATCCTTTTCCCTCTTTTCTTAAAAGAGTGGGTGAGCTTATTTGAAGCGTTCAAAGCCTTCTTCTTGAAATTACCAATTTTTGACCGTCGTCTTTCATCTTCAGAGTTCTCAAAATCAGATCTTCTCTCTCTATTTTCATCATTAACCACGATTCCTTCAACACCTTCAATAGGTCAACATAGATTATTACTATTGCTAGTAACCAAACAACACACACAAAATCATCCTAATGAAATCAAGCATCAGAAAGCATTCAATTTTGGTCGTCATAATATGACTCACACTTAAAACGGATGTATCTGGTGAGCTGAAAAAATAAACATACCTGACATTTTGCTGAAATGCAACAGGGAATCCTAATTTTCAGGCCAAGAAAGTAGGATTCACAACAACCCTGCCGACACACATGCCTCTCTAAACTGTCAAGGGCAGAAGAACAGAATGTGGTACTTTTATAATACTGCAGGCTTTCAGCGACACTGAAGCATTAGAAAATGACAACTGATTTAAATTCAAATCACCAACCCAAAAGTACCTAAACACTAAATGTTTTCCAAAGCTATCAAAGTAGACTAAAAAAAAAAAAAAACCCTAATTTCTCTACCCTTCAATGAATCCAACCAAAATATTAAAACACTCCAGTTTCCTCCGAATTCTCCATCAATCATAGAGACTTGGAAATTAAAAAAAAAAAAAAAAAGCAAACTTTTCACTTCCTCTCACAGCCCTTCAGCTCATTAAACCACAATCTCTAAAATCAAATATCATAACTCTTAAAAAAATCATTACAAACACAGATCCAGATCAGCTTTTTTTTTTTCAAAAAAAATCACAGTAAACCCATGAAATATTATCCATTCTCCATCAACATAATAAAATCAAGAACGCAAAAGATCAAAACCTCACTTCACAACACTCACAGCCAGCTGAAAGTAACAAAATTCACTCTTGGAATTCACTGATTTCAAAAGAAAGAAATGAATGAGCTTTAAAACCCCATAAATACTTATAATAAAGAAAAAAGAAAAGCAATTAAATTAAATTAAAATAGAAATTCCATGAAACTCCACAATGCAGATATCAACTGTACGGATCTAACCCTCCATTTCATTCAATCATTCACCATTTTGTTATTCATTCATTAACAAAAAAAAAAAAAACAGAGAAGGAAAGAAAGCAGGTTGTTATTTTTATTTTGATTTGGATTGAATAGAAGGAAAATGAATGAGAAAGAAACGAAACGCACCCGTATCAATCATTCAACCAATCAATAAAAAAAATCCCAATATGTTCTTCCGTCTCTCTCAGTGACCGTAGAGAAACAGAGGAATGAAGGGTGGATGGCAGAGAGAAGGAAGGAGAGGAGAGGAGTAGATAAAGGAAACGAAACAAGGAGATATCTCGAGAAGTAGTTACTAGTATAGTGTTTCGCTGAAGCTGAGAGAAACACAAGCCTCTCTCTCCCCCTCTCTCTGTAATGCGTCTCTGTCACCCTCTCCTTTCTTTTCTGGTTTCATTACGTGTCCCTTTTTTATTTCATTCTTTTCTTTTCTTTTATTTACCATTTATTTTCTATTTACCATTTTGTGAAATAGGATTGATCTTATATATTAACCATGTTTGGACGATCGAGGGGGAAAAAAAAGAAAGTTAAATAAAAAATGTGTATTTTAAAAGTATTTTTTAATTAAAAATATATTAAAATAATATTTTTTTAATTTTTTTATTTTTTAATACCAGGACATTAAGACCATCAACAAAAACATAAAAAGTATTATTTTAATATATTTTTAAATAAAAATAATTTAAAAATAAATTTCATCACAAAAACACCTCTTACATTTCTAAGAAATTCATTTAGGGGCTAATATTATTTTTAATCATACCCGGTTAATTATTAGTTATTAATTATGTAATCACTTGTTATGCATTATAATGGCGTATCAATGGTGGATTTTATTAATTCAAACTCGTGTGTTTTTTAATATTTTTTATAGATAATATTTAGCCCCGCCGAGATCTAAAGATTTATAATAATTTTACCAAAATAAATATCAAGAAAGAATTTCGAGTTTAATAGCGGATTCCACTAATCAATTAGTTATTTATATATTGTTGAAGTTTTTTCTTTTCCTTTAATAATATCTGAGAGCCTAGGAATATTCCCTAATCTTTGAATTTTTATTAATAAATAAAATTGAAATAAAAATAAAAAGGGTGCCCCGTCTATTTAACGGAATTTAATTTCGGTTGTTTTTAATTAGACTTTTGGAATGGAATAAAATCTCAAAGGTACTTCCTTTAATGAAAGTATAAAATACAGCAACCAAAAAGGGAAGACAGAAGGTATCTAATTCCAGCTCTCTCCATTAATTAAATGCAGGATTAGGACGTAGCTATCCTAATTAACCATCCTTCTGATTAATCTTAAACAAATCCCATCAAGGCATAATTAGAAGGACGCCACTCTAAGATCTCATTTAATAATTTATAATCATGCGTGTTAGGTCATATCGTGGTAGTTTTGCACGTAGTTCTAATTAATTTGAAAAAAAAAATTGATTAAAAAAAGAAAAATAATAATTACTGTCGCATTCCATCTTAATTAATCCCTGGAATACAAGACGAATCATTTGAGAGAGTTTGTAACCATTTATGACACTCGGCATCACCTAGCGCTAGATTTTTTCTGTCTTTACGGTGACAAACATGCACAAAGTAACATTCCAAAGCCAGTGTTGATCCAAGTGGGGATATAGTATGAAAGGGTCATGAGATTGCGACTATGGAGAGGAGGGACTGGTACTAATCATAATCCAATATCGAATATGGCTCAGTACTGTTGAAGAAGAAAAGCAAAGCAACCAGTTGCCTAAGATTGCTGCCTCTAATCTCCGGGGAATATATCACACATCATGTATGAATCCCATCTCATATCTTTAATTATCCATCACCACACCAAACCCTAGACTAACCTGCTCTCCTCTTCAATAGTATGGATCGATGATGCCCGCAGCTCAGGCCACAAGAGGTACGTAGAGCATGTGTGTACCTAGCTAGCTACAAGTGTTCTTGACAGTGATTCCCCTTCACAATCCCATCAATTAATGTCTTCCTCTACCGACCCTATATACCTAGTACGAGAACTATATAACACGTCAATGACAGCATTATCTTGGGTTTTTTTTATAAAAAAAAAAAGGAGTAGAAAAAGACTCCAAGTCAGAGGGTTAGATGGCTGGGGGTTGTTTAACCAAGGCTCCTGCAACAAGGTTGATTGACCTCAAAGTTAACGAGTGCTTGGTTTTTCCTCCTAAATTCGATCCAGATATTCAGCTGTGGGAGAAAATATTATTTTGTTACATTGATGAACAATACCCTTGGATATCTCCATTAAATTATTATGTATTTTATTTTGATTATTTACGTTCAAGTTGTGATTAATAAGATAATGTGCGTATCTCTCCCCTTTCGTATTAAACTGATCTGGTATTAATATATTAAGGATACGTTTCTTCAAAAACAATCATTAAAGGATACTCTTATAACGCATGTGGATCAACCATAAATATATAAATAAATAAAAATACATGTCAAACTTGACCTAACTTTATAACTAACTTTAATAGTTCTTTATTTTTGTATTAAAAGGTTAAGCCACGAAACTCTTAAATTATTTTTGATCAATGATTTATAAATATATATATATATATATATGAGACATAAACGTGTATAGTTAAAAAAAATAAAGATTTAAAATAAATTTATTTCTAGAATAATTTTGGTAAGAATTTCTGTATTTTTTTAATAGAAAAGACATGTTTCTCTTTTATTTTTTTATATCGTGAAAGAGTAATTCAATGGTATCTTAATATGACTTTTGTTTTTCTTTCTTTTTTTTTTTATTTTTTTTGTATTATATTGCTATGGTTTATTGCTTATCCATTTATTTTTGTCATGGTTTATTGGCTTAGTTAACGTAATAATGGATGTTCAAAAAAAAAAAAAAGAATTAAACGAAGAAAAGTGGATAAAGCTTTTGATTACCTCATTATGGGATTTACCAGTTCTGTCAAGACGCACAGGAAGGGGGTTTTACGTAGCCAATCGTACGCGATGCTTGACTGACTCTTGGGAATGGTGAAGTGTAAAAACAGGAGTGAAGATCACATTCCCATCCATGCATATATGAACAATAATTATAACGCCATCATTATCTGTGTATTAAATGCTTGCAAAAACTGCTATAAACATCACCGTAACAGAGCAATCGAAGCAACTTAATGTATCTCCCCTGTCGAGGTGCCATAATTAAAGACACTAGAAAAGATCAAGGAAGGAAGGGAGAGAAGGCACGTAGAGCTCAGAAAGAGAGACAAGGACCTCTCCAAAAGGAACAAGAACGTTAACCCCACCCCAAGAAAATGACTCAGTTACAAGTCCCTTTCATGAATTCTCTCCTCTCCTTGGATCTCCCTCTCTCTCTCTCTCTCTATATATGTATATATACAGTCCCCACCCAGCAGCTAGCTACGTCTATGACAAAGAATGAATAATAAATAGTACGTAGAATAGATGCACAGTACAGGCTAGATGATAAAAGAGTCATGAATGCACAAGGTGGTCTGCTCTTCTTCGATTCTTATTGCACGATTATGTATGTAGCACCTAGCTAGCTCAAAGACAATAGACATGCTTGTCTCAAGTAGTGTCGGCATTCACTGTCAACATTTCACCTTCTAGCTAGCTATGCGAAAAGTAAGAATGTGACAATTCCACACATCCCACCACTCCTTTTCTTTGATTTTTTTTTCATTAATTAGTCTTTGGGGTCATCGATAAGATTGGCATATCACTACATATACACGCATGCATTTACTATATGTATAGATGCGCACACACCCTTTCTCTCTTCTTCTCCTCATCCTCCTCCTCCTTCTAAAGAAGTCATGGCTGGTAATTGCAACAGCAAAGCCTCGTGATGTAGTGACATGCGCATTTAGCGTTTGACGCAGCATGCAATCAATTAAACTTCTTCTCCTGTATGTTATGAGGCGGAGAGGAGGGGGGATCGCATTTATCAACGCTTAGTGGAATCGGTCACTCACTCATTACTCAATCACAAGTAAGTACTGAAATGATATGGAGGACGACCATTAATGCTATTTTGCTACTAATCCCAAGCTGGGGTTGGCTTTGTTTTGGTCAACAATAGAGTAAATTTAATAACTTAGTCCATATAGTTTAATAATTAGCCAATTGGCCTGCCGTTTAGGGTCAAAGTAAATATTTTTCTTTGAAGTGTCAACAAAAAAAAGTCTAGTTATTGTTAAAGTACGTACTTCTTAAAAAAAAAAAGGTTTTAATATGAACAATATTTTATCTAATATTAAGATCAAAATATATTAAATTTACTTGGATTAATTCAAATTAACATATAAAACTTATGGGGATAATTTTACAAAAAATAAACTTGAAAGCTAAATCTCCAATTAACTCAATGTTCAAAGATAAAAATGATAGAAAAAACACTTGATTAAAAAAAAATACCAAATGAATTTGGATAAACTAACCAAACTTCTAACACATATCATGCAAGTTATTGAATTCAATAATTTTTTTATCTCATAGATTTTTTTCATTTAATAAATTTATATAAATTTAAAAGTCATGATAGACGCATGAGACTGAAATAACAAAGACAGATTATTGATAACAAATGAAGAAATTGGATTTTTTTTTTAAATTGAAGGGCAAAAATGCATAAAAAAGTAATAGCTATATAATTGAGGTATAGGTTTCTTTACCTAAAAAAAATCGTTTTTCAGCCCATTTCACCTTAAAAAAACCCTTAGAACATTAATAAACCAAGCTATCAACCTAATTAAACCAAAAGATAGTTCAAACCAAAATTAACCGAATAAAATATCTCATCCTCGACTTAAATTTGATTTTTAGGTTATATTGAGGTTTAAAATAATCATTAATTGTTACATGAAATTAGAATCTCTTTCACTTAATTAAACATGTTAACACCATTTTTAACTATTTTGGTTGTCGAAATACATTCTAATTATGAGCTTTCTCTCTCTACGTTGAAATCTAGCAAGCTTTCACTTTCCTCTCACAGAAAAAACAAAAAAAGAAATTACAATAATAAAGTTTGGTATCAAAATTGAATTTCAAAAAATCTTAGGGATTGGTCACATTTTAAGTTAAAAATATGAGGACTAAACTAAATTTGTTACCTGACATTAGAATCTACCATATATTTTGCCTGTATTTTTTACTTTGGTCTTCTATTTTTTAATTTCACCTTCTCTTAAAAAAAAGAAGAAGAATATAATTGGATATTACTTTAGGCATAAAAGGGTTTAATGGTTCAAAACAAAAGATTAAAGATCATTTAAATTTTTTTAAAAATTATTATAATAATCTACAATGATTTATGAAAAAGTAAGCAATAAATAAGTACATAGTGAAAATATCATTATTATTTTTTTAATTCTAATTCATTAATAGTGTAATTTGAATAACCATGTATTTAATCCCTATAATTATAAATTTGATTATAATTTAATCTTTTATCCACTATTTTTTTCTTTTTTTTCCTTTCTTGAAAACTATATAATATAGAAAAGAAACATAGCTAGGTAAGTTGCTGGGGAGATCTGGTAAGAAAAGAAAATACTTTTGGAATAAAAAATTATTGATAAAATGGTCAGTGCTGATTGAAGGACTAATTAATTATTTCTTCGTATCCTCAAGCACAGATCCACCTTTCAATTTGTGTGCTCTTTACTTTATATTAGCACTATTGACGTTATACTTATGCTTGAATCTTGTTGAATAGTATTCCATGCTCACTTTCTTCGGAAGAAAAAAAAGAAGAAGAAAAAGATACATTTGATGCTTAAATATTCAAAAACACAACACATTCTATGCTAAGAAATAAATTAACATTTTCACACTCCATTCTTTTACAGTTTTAAAACCAGATAGAGGGTTTGATCTGGATAAGAATTGGGTCATAAATCAAAAAAGTTAATCTAAATTGATTTAAATAAATATAATTTTTTATATATAAAAAAATTAATAGGATTTTTATTAGGTTTTACCTAAATCACGACTACCTGAATGAATTTTGTATTAGGTTAAGTTTGATCAATTTATATCTTTATTTTCTTTTAAATTTGACCAATTTAGATGTCAAATATGATAGGTTTTGAATTGATCCGTAAGGGGTCCAGGACAAGTTTAGTTTTATAAGTGAGATATAAGGCTAACCCACTTAATTCATCCTTCTTGTCATCCTTGTAAGGAATGAAGCTCCATCGTCAATCCATCATCTTAAAGTGCACATTACAAAAATGTCAATGTTATGGCAGAAGAACTTAACACCGAAGTTGTTGAATGATATATTCGATAACATTACTAATATTGTTTTTTGTGCGGGCCAACGTTCACTGTGCCGTCACATTCACAAGCTTTGGAGTATTATTAATATGGAGCCTTCTGCATGTACCGACAAGAAGACTGGTGTCTGAAGGTGGGAACATGGGTGCTTGACAATAAACACAAGAGTCCAAAAGAATGCAGTTTGTGTTTATTGAAGCAGATACAGCAGCTAAGAGGGACATCTCATCCATGTTCCTTCTGCCCCTTCATCTCTCTAGCCACCATATACAGTTTGATAACATTAAATAATGGAGATATGTAATGCTGAGGTTTTGGACCGCCTAATGGTTTTTGCCATTGTTGATGCTGTGAGAGGATGAGAAAGAGAACAAAACACAAGACAAGGAGCTACAAAGGGTAATCTCATGGGAGAACACATGACGTGCATGAGATGGGTTGTCGGGTGGCAATTGGTCCCTTGTTACCTCAACCCCATTTGTTAAGGCAGGCTTTTGTTATGCACGCCTCTGTAATCTATCTGTGATTTCTTTACCCCTCTCTGGCTAACTGTTGAAAGTAAATGCCCCAAGATTGTCCCCAAGATTATTGACTCTTGGACAATTGGTGGAACCTCACTTTAAATATGACCCTTCTCTCCTGGTTTATCCATGCCTTTAGAGCGCACCAGCACGTTCTATACATGATTGGAATAGATTGATGAAGTCGCCATGACAGCCCCTTCGCAACAGTAAGAGCTCTCATTCAACACCAAATCAAACCAAAACGCTCTCTCTGCCGATTCCTGCGATTCTTACATATGATTGTCATCTTCGTTTTGTGTGAACGTAGAGTTGAGATACAATTGACAAGGTGAACTGCTTCCATTTTCATCCGTCAAGCTGCATAATAAGAGAAACATCCCCACACACACAAAAAATCCAATTCTGTACCCATACTTTTAGCAGAGGAGCATGCATGGGATGACAGTAAAAAATTCGAGGTTCAAGGTGAACAGTAGTTGAGCTAAGGGCAAATGCCAAATTTAGCGAACATCCCGCACATCCATATTCATTATCAACAACATTAACAAGCCACACCGCACCCTAAAGCAGTAGAGTTCACATGCCTGGGCCTCAGCCCTTTTTCCCCAAGGAATTTTGGGCCAGGGCCGGCAACAAATCCACGTCAGGGGAGCGCCAGCTTCCAGACAGGGTATTTGATGAGGGTACTAAGAAAATGGACGTTCTGTTAAATCCAAACACAGAATTAAGTAAAGCAGAGGTATCATTTTGCCTTTTGGTTTTCATGTAAACATTAACCAACTGTTGACGAACATATATTAATAGATAAAGTCCCATTGATCTTCAGAAACCAAGACAGCAAAAGCAGACCCAGATGAAGTTTTCTATTATTTACTAGTAGGGCAATAGAAATTTTTGTTCCTCCTGTAGATGTAGAACCCTAGCCCATGGCATATTTCTGGGTCCAAGACCGAGCAGTGGTTTCATACTTGAATCTGTCTGTCTTGTACATGTGAGCAATTTCGGGCACCAGGGGATCATCAGGGTTTGGATCAGTCAACAGTGAACAGATGGACAGAAGAACCTACAAGAGAGATATTCCGTCTTAAAACAATTATGCAAATCCAATGTCATTAATGCGACAAATATAAAACTATAATGCAGATCTAGCATCAATATTATAGCATCATATAACTTTGGTCAAAGAGGAGCCGGACCAACACAACATCCCATGTTCAGAGAGAGAGAAAAGAAAGCATGATCGAAGAGATAATTATACCTTGGATATTGTAAGAGCAGGGCTCCACTGTTCTTTGAGAATATCAAGACAAATGCTTCCATTGCTGTTAATGTTGGGGTGGAAAACCTTTGTACGGAAAGAGACCTTTCCAGAACACAATCAAATCAGACAAGAAAAAAAAATTATAACAAAAAAGGAGAGAGCTAACTTTTAAACCTCAACACATCAAAAGCCCACAGAATAGCTTGTATCACCAAGCTAACTGCCTTCTATTTTTTTGGGAAAAAAAACTCTCTAAATATTAATGCATAGTGTCATAACCTAAGTCGCAAGCAACCTAAGCTAGGGGGATGATAAGAAGCACTTCCATGAATGCCATAGGAGACTCCAGGATGTGCATTTCAGGTCCTAAGACTAGCATGCTCTGGCAATCAAGCAAGTCAATTAAAAAAGAGAGAAAAAAGTGAGAAGCCAGGACTGACACAAAACCATCCTCAATCATTGGAATGTTCACCACACAATTGCAAATTGTTTCAAGCAAAAACGAGGCAAAGGGATATCACAGTGTCAGGAACACCCATTTTTTTAAACAAAAGAAACATTGCAATTATGGAAAGAGGACAGGAGCTCAATGGGACTACGTACATAGTATAAATAAAATAGATATGAAAATTCACAAATAAAACAGATACGATAATGCAGATAATTCACAAGCACAATGAAGTGCACAAGCGCAATGAAGTGCACAAGCGCAATGAAGTATGTACAGGAAGGGAGAAAGAGTGGGGGGATGAAAAGGAATGCAAGGAATGGAGTATCAGAAAAATGAGCATCGTGATTACCTTGGGTGGCTTGAATGGGTAATCTGGTGGGAAGTGAATGGATACGAGAAACACCCCACCAGCAAATGGGCTGTCAGCTGGGCCCATAATTGTTGCTTGCCAGTGGAACATATCATCAGCAACAGGACCTGTAAGCATGCGTCGTATGTCACAAGCCATGGTTTAAATCAATCAACTCCAACGAAAATATAATATATTTTGGCTTAAAAAACAACTGAATTCATCAGCTTCAATGTTTAGCTTGCAGACTGGCCTAGGCTCATAGATGAAAAGGATTGTGATCATCAATCTACACAGCCAAGTCCCCAACACCACATTGCAATTCCACACCCCAATCTCTATTAAATTAGTCAACAGCACCTTACCCCACCACCCAACAGATCCAATGATGAAAACTTTTTAGGTCACTCCCACAAGTGATGAGCACAACAAAATCACATTCACAGATGACACCACTTACCAAACAAACAATCTGTATTCCATAACAAATGGAGTTGGATTCTCATTGATTACTCTTTTAAGCGAATCTTCCTTGTCCTTGCCACTTAACCATTTGTAACAATTTTTAGATCAATGTGCTCGTGTAAGTCAAAGTAAATACAACGAAGATTTTACAAGTGTCCACATTCAAAGCAATCCCAGTTGCCACCCCAACTTAACAATGCAAGCATATAGATTTCATAATTAAACCAAAGAAAGCAACTTATAAGACTAACAACTCCACTTAGGCAAGAACAAAACAACTGAGGGTAAGTAAAAAGTGAACCAGCGCTGCATGAAGCAGGAGGGTCCTTCTGCAGGTCTTTCAACTCCTTGTTGATCCTCTTGGAAGCCATCACAAATTCTCTGAAGCTTCAAAAACATAAATTGGTAAAATATTGTCAGCAACATATGTCATCCACAACCAATCATCCAATCAAATACGAACAAATACACGGCTTTAATTTTAAACCGCAGAAGCCAAAAACTTTATATAAATAATAGTAAACCCATAATCTTTTAAATGGTTCTAAAATACTCCTCTCTTCCGA